TCCCTCCTGTTCATAGGCTCCCTTCAAGTACTGGAAGGCCGCAATGAGGTCTCCCCGGAGCCTTCTCTTCTCCAAGCTGAACAAGCCCAGTTCCCTCTGATCATCCTTGTGGCCCTCCTCTGGACCCGTTCCAAGAGCTCCACGTCTTTCTCGTGCTGGGGACCCCAGGCCTGGACACAGTATTCCAGGTGGGGGTCTCACAAGAGCAGAGTAGAGGGGGAGGATCACCTCCTTTGACCTGCTGATAATGCTTCTTCTGACACAGCCTGGGATACGGTTGGCTTTCTGAGCTGCAAGTGCACATTGTTGGCTCATGTTGAGCTTCTCACCAACCAGCACTCCCATGTCCTTTTCCTCAGGGCTGCTTTCAATCCGTTCTCTGCCCAGATTGTATTTGTGCTTGGGATTGCCTCAACCCACGTGCAAGACCTTGCACTTGGCGTTGTTGAATTTCATGAGGTTTGCATTGGCCCACCTGTCCAGGTCCCTCTAGATGGCATCCCTTCCCTCCAATGTGTCCATCACATCACATCACACAGCTTGGTGTCATCAGCAAACTTGCTGAGGGTGCACTCAATCCCACTGTCCATGTTGCCAACAAAGATGTTAACCAACGCTGGTCCCAATACCAACTCCTGCAGAACACCGCTTGTCACCGGTCTTCACTTGGACATTGAGCCATTGACCACAACTCTTTGAGTGTGGCCGTCTAGCCATCTAGCCAGTTCCTTATCCGGTGAGTGGTCCTTCCGTCAAATCCATGTCCCTCCAACTTAGAGACAAGGATGTCATGTGGGACTGTGTCAAAGGCTTTCCACGAGTCCAGGTAGATTATGTCAGTTGCCCTTCCCTTATCCACCAGTGCTGTGGCCCTGTCATAGAAGGCCACCAGATTTTTCAGGCACGATTTGCCCTTGGTAAAGCCATGTTGACTGTCACCAGTCACCTCCTAATTTTCCATGTGCCTTAGCGTAGATTCCAGGAGGATCTGCTCTATGATCTTGCCAGGCACAGAGGTGAGACTGACCAGCCTGTAGCTTCTTGGGTCTTCCTTATTTCCCTTTTCATTGTGAAATTTCTATTTTTAAAGTTCTGAATCAATACACACAACTGCATGATAGATAAAAGTTCCCACTGGCATTTTTAGGTAGAGAAGAAATAAAAGTAGGCTGAATGTACAAGTAGATGCTGCTTGTTATTTAAGGTAGCAGTGAGGTTTGGTACTACTTTCCATCTCAGAATAACTCCTTGTCTGTAATTAGTACTGGCCAGTTGACATTTTGTATTCCTGAGCTAACTAAACACAAAATGTTGTAGAAGATCTTAAGGCAAACTTTGCATTGTCTTGAAAACACATGGTAGATTAAATGACCTTTTTGAGGAGTCTATCTTAGATACTTGAGAGCAAAAATGTAGTACTTTTTCATGAGGGAAGTTTATGATGAAAGAGATATTGAATGATTTGACTGCAAATAATATGTGAATTCTGCTTTATTGAGAACTGAGAAAAAAGCCTGAGACTACTTATTTCAAGTATGTAGTATAATGGTAGGTTGAGCAATAATAAGTTAAATGTTAAGTCCTGCAAGGTGTCGTCTTTAGAGAAAAATGGTGTATTTCGGGGCTCATTTGTACTTAAATCTGTTTTGTAAAATATCTAGAGATTAAATCAATAATCAAATATCTATAATAATCTATTATCAACAATATAATAACATAAATAAGGACTACTATTAACAATATTAAAATTATGAGTATAATAATGAAGACTGCCTCAG